TACCGGACAGACCTGCCGCAAGGAAACCGGGACCCTGCACTGGCTCCACTGCAGTAACGACCCTTGCTTACGCACACAGGGCGGCACAGCGCGCTTTAACGTCACCGGTAGCTACCTTGCATTCGGCACAGGGCAGAGGGAACACCCGCAGCGAGCGAAGAGCTGGTCCCTGCTACAGGCATGCAGCATCCTTCCCGGAGGAGAGGCTTTACAGTCTGGAGATCACTGCCAGGTCACGCCATTAGCACAGACAAAGAAAGCAGGCAGTGAGCACACATGTTAATCCATTATTATTTATTAGCTGTACAGCAGTATATTCTCCTTCCCAGCTTTCAAACCCCATTACATATTTTATAACAGTATTTTTTTTCCCATGTTGGCTTCCTAAAATAATGAAAAATATCACACAGTACAGCTAAGTACAAAAATGCATCAACCTAGAGTCTGATAGCTAAACTGATAGCTCTCTTAAAAGCGATACATAGAAGAAAAATTTGTTTGAAATCAGCAAGACTGAGGCTCTATAAAAAGCTTACATATTTTAACATGTGACAGTTCATATACAGGCATCATTTGTATTTCACATTATTCCTTTTTTGTCTTTATCAGAGATCCAAAACTGTGTAAATTACTGACCTATTAAAATTTCCTGGCCCAGGTTTTGAGGGCTGCAGTGACCCACTTATAAATCACCACTTCTGCCTTAACATAGGATTCATAAACACAAAATACAGCTACAAGATAGAGCAAAGAAAATGTAGTCGTGAAATTATAACTCAAAAAGAAGGTTAATTGTACATGTTTCAAACGCCACTTCTGTGTGCTTCAAAACCAGATTTCACACGTGGGCTCCTCTTGTTCTGCAAGCAATAGTCTGGGGACGTCTCTGTTCCACGTGATTGGTTATCGACAGCTTTTCCAACATTTACACTCTATCAATTCTCTTGTCACTTAAAAGGAATTAAAATACTGGGGTTTATTTAAACTGCATTTTTGCATACCTCTTAATTAATGGAAAAAGATTAAAATGTAAAAAAAAGTTATTTACAAGCTTGACCATTACAGAAATGCTTTGCAGAAAGCAAAGCATATTAAGGACAGAAACCAGTTGGAGCATGCCAAAACTACCGTGTGCAGCTGACTTGGAGAACCGGAGCTAGTCAGTGGGGAAAAGCAAAAAACATTTTAAAAGTCTAGAACCCTTCCAAGTCTGCATTTACAGTTAAAAACACTACTGAGAGAAGGAGGCTCAAGGGCTCTGGGAACTGGAAGGGCAAGTCCGGAGTGGTTTACCATGTACTTTAGCCAAGGCTTCCACTTTTATGTATTAAAACTCGGTGCACGTAAACATGGCCCTTGGACCAGCTTTACAATGCAGTTCAGAGCAAAACTAAAATCAAGCATCTCACAGGAAACCCTCAAGGACTCCAAAATATTTCCTAATGTTCCATGATCCTGTAATGCTAACATAAAACAGCAAGTTCTAGTTAAATCACATTCTAACATCATTTTGAAGTTTTATTTCCCAGTATGTTTTGGTAAAATGGTCTAAAATGATGCACTTCCCAAAGCCAAGAAAAAAAGGTAAAAGGAAAAATAGATTTGAGCCGCTTAAACACAGCCCAGGCCAGTTCAGTCAGCCAGCGTGGTCTTCCTCCATCACCGGTCCATCATGCTGAGAATCATCTCAGGAGTGAGGTCTCCATTGGGAGCTTCCACTACTGCAGGCTGAGCTTCCTCCTCTTCCTCTGCTGTTTCCGCATCAGGTTCTTTCTTTACTTCAACTATAATATTTTCAATTTCACCAGTGTTCTGGTCTTCAACCTGAATGATTGCTGCAGCTGGAGGGGCAGAAGAGAAGGGGGAAGGGGGGAAATGACATTTTTTTACTGGTTCCAGAGCTGGCTGGCACACCTCACCAGGTTAACTTTTCAGTAGATATTTAAGACTCTTCCATGGAAAGGGAAGGTGGGGCCCACAGGCACATTCCCACATTAGCGGGAAGTGATTCAACCTGCCTTGTTCACCCAAGCATTGCCCCTGTCTAAAGATGTGCTACCACTACAACAGTTCCAGGATGCCTTTTGATGTTAAGACATTATTCAAACAACAGACTTTCTAGAGTAACCAACGAACAAGTCCATATCTATGTATGGGCGTAAGGCAAAACTTCAAATTCAGGGATTCCAGTGACGCCGGTGATGACTTCAGCATAAAATGTTTCCAGAGGCTGTAATTCTAGGAAGGACACAGGACACACTCAGAGGACTGAGCAGACAGGCCAGCTCCTGGGGAAGCCATTACCCCATGAAGTGCAAGAAACAATGCTTTTGTGTTTTTGCAAAGGGAAGCCACACTGTTCAGGAAAGATAGGTGTGGTGTTGAAATGCACTTGTAGTGATAAGAAAGCCTGTAAAACAAGTTTGTAAAAACGCCTGCAGCAGCTGGACTTTTTAGGGACATTAGGCAGGAATCATCTGCTAAGAAGGCTTGGAGAACAAGCCATTACCACCTCATAGCTTGTAAACAAAACATTACCACCTCCCAGAGCAAAAACTTAGAAATTTGAAAAGTAACAGGTTGGCAACCAAAAGCCATGTATGGTATGATGGGTCAGAAATAAGCATTGGCTAGGTTGTGAACCTGGAGTACTCAGCCAATGGGGAAGCAGGGGAGAGCTTTGTGTGTCACGAGCTAGGGTATACAAACCCATCCCTGGAAACTTTCAAGACCAGGTTGGGCAGGGCTCTGCTCACTGCAGGGGGGTTAGACTAGATGACCTCTAGGGGTCCCTTCCAACCCAAAACATTCTATGATTCTATGAACCATGCTGGGTAACCATGGCATGCTCTCCTGCTTGCAGGACACCCGCCATTCCAATTGCGAATAAAAGGTATTTTTTTCCTTCACCAAAGAACCAGCCTCAAGAAAGATTGAGACATCTCTCACAGAAGGAAAAAATTTGCCCTTCCTGCTTTGTTACTAGAATTTTATTTATTTAAGTTTTGCAGTTACCAATGTCTATTCTTACGGAGAAAACATCTGCGCTGATGCTATGCTCAGAACTACAGGCCTGAAGCACGTTTGTTTGTTGTAATACATATTCAAGTCTACCTAGGTAAGAATACTGTGGTGATGGTACCAGCAGCTGCCTTACCAGGACCTGTGCGTTAGTAGAGACACCGTAACCAGTGCAGAAAGGAGCGAGCAGTTTGCACATCTACGAAATGGAGTAATACTAAAGTAAAAATAACGCCCTCTCCTTTTAGCACAGTCTGAAGCAGCTATGTTCCCTCATCACCAGGAAACGCAGGCAAAAGGCGAGTTCTTAGCGAAATAGAGACAAGTAGAGTTTAAATAAGCTCACACGAGGGGAGCAGTTCTCCTACAATAACTGCCAAATCCAAGGAAAAAGCAGCTGAAGCAAGCAGTGTAATGTCAGCTTCAATTAGTGACTTACGCTGGGATTGTTTTGGTTGGGTGGCAGCTTTGCCTGGTGGTCTTCCTCTTCGTTTCTTACTGGGAGGTGGTGCAGGAGCCTCTGGCTCAACTTCAGGTTCAGCCTCAATTTCTACTGCTGTCTCCTCCTCATCTTCATTATCATCCAAATCTGGTTCAGCATTTTCCTCTGTAAGAAACGTTGTATCAGGTAAATCTTCAGTTTAAACAAGAATGAAACAGAGAACCACCATCAAATCCTCATCCAAAAGGAGCTGACTCATGAGGAAGAAGGCAAACAAGGCATTTGTCAAGAAGCTGGTGGCACAGACTGTTAGTTAGACCCTCACACTAGAGAGAACAAGTTGTCCTTCAGAAAGCAAAAGTGAACACAGCTATGTTAGATGATGCAATAAAAGCTCCTCTGCACATCCACAAAGGAGCTCAGGGAGACAATGGCAGGAGAGGGACCAAATAATACACTGCTGGGCTATTCCTAGGCCCATCAGAGGAGCTATCAGCCCATCAAAGTCCCACCTGCACAACCCAGAGCAGCACAGAGGTGCACAATGGAAGGTGGGAACCCAAATCAATGACTTCTGAGGAACAAACACCTTGTCCAGGCCACTCCTAGGACAGCCATCAGCCCCAGCATCCTGGTGTGAAACCCAGCACTCCCCAGGATCACCTTTCAGACTAAGGGGTACAGGGAATTGCTGGCTGGGGGTGGGACACATAATGGGATGCAGGGGAAAGGCAGTTTCAGATCACAGAGGACTATTTATGGGATACTGGAGCAATTTAGAAAGGAATAAGCATTGGAAAATAGAGAGGCAAGAGAATAAAAGCAGCCAGTCGCATGTAAATAGTGGTAGCAGCCACTACAGTATCTCTATGAAACACTAGAACTCAAGAGGGAACCATGAGCAAGTATCCTGGTCCTCCAGAAACAGCAATGACACGTCAGTCCTCCTCTGTTAAGTAGATAGGAAACCAGGGTAGCAGCTCCCAGACATGGGAACTTGTGTCCAAGACTTCAAAAATCTCAAGTTAAATATAGAAGAACTACACAAAACTGGGGAGTTCTTAGGCATTAGGGGTGAGCACAGGTCTGCAGACCATTCACCATGCTTTCCAAGGCCATCAACATACAGTTTACCAACCAGCAACCAAGAGGATCTTCCCCAGGACCTCTCTTTAGAGGCAGGACAGGTCTAACGCAGTAGATTTTATGAGGCCCTGTCTACTTGTTAACTGAACTTACTGCTCTACACTTCGTTCTTCAGAACACTCCTTGAAGTTACTAGGTTAGCACCATCGACATGTTCAGAATGCTTTGGGCAAAACCAAAGCAAACAAAAAGCAGTAAGAAGTGTTGGATTGGATACTATTGCTTGGACAGCAAAATTATTGCCTTTGAATTTCTAAGGGCATCCACTGCATAAAGAGTGGCTTCACTCATGAATGAAAGGGCCATTGCGTAAGGCATACTTCTGTTTATCCGACTAAAGGGGAAAAATAAACCCCAAACAAGCTTCCCTTAAGCACACTGAGGCATGTAAATGCTGCATTATTTTACAGTCACTCAATGAATATTCCCCAAGCCAAATTTCTTTCATTTATTGGATTTCTCAGGTCCTGCCTTTTTAGAGCTTCTTTACATTCCCCCCCTTGACTCAATGTCTATCAACTAACAGTCTAACGCTGGGTGGACAGGCCAGTCAGGAGACTAAGCTATCATTTGCTATTTGGTATTTTTCCCATTAGCATAAGATGGGTCTGTCTCATCACAGCTTTGCTCACCATTTTTAGTGATTTAGCAGTTGCCAAAACTCATGGAACTGCAGATCTAGAGATAAAACCAACCATGTTCTCCTGAGGATGTGGTTAGGACCTCTTTCTTACCATTACTCAGCTCACACTGGTCAATTCCTTACATCTATCAAATGACTCCTGAGGAAGCCAACCCAGACTTGTCAGCTCATCTGGGGCTGAAGGGATATTCTCAGAGTCGTACAACGCTCAGCATCAGTTCACCTAACAAGCATGATTTTTTGACCAGCTTTCCCAAAAAACCTGAACCCAGATCACATAAACTAAATAAAATCCAGGTTTTCAGAACAGGCTAATCTCCCAGGAAGCCTACACATCAGATATTAAAAATTAGATAATCCAGAATCCCACCTTTTGAATTACCTTCCATCAAGGCAGTTATTTTACTCTCTCTGCCTCCATGATCTTTTCATATTTTAAATGAATTAGTTACACATGCTTTATTCAACTGATCATAACAAGTTTTTTCACGTATCTATACAAATGTGACATGAAGCACTTACTGCTCTAGAGTTTTTGCAATCGAGATTTGCACAAGCCATTTGACCATACTCATCCCATCAAACCTGCTTGCCACGTAAGAATTTCAGATACACATTCTCTAGCCAGAAAGATCCCTGTTCTCCCAACCTACAGCCCTTGATTAATTACAAAGAGTACTCCAGAGTACACTGCTTTTGCAGAATTATCTTTTTAACTTGAGACTCTACTTGCTGAAGACATGAGTAAGTTTTCCCTCTGCCAGGAGGGAGGACCATGACTGAGTTTTGCCTTCACAAATAATACTGCAGTGAAGGTGATGACTATCTGCTGCAGCAATTCCTGCTATCTCCCTGCTCTGGAAAAGCTTACAGACAGTAGCCACCCTACGACAAATTGCACCTAACCCATCTTCTGGCATGCTGTCCAGGAAGTCAGAGCCCCTCCAAAGCCATCTTCTCAATACCAGCATACAGGCAAACACACCCATGAAGTTGAAGACACCACCAGCCCCTTGACCCTTTAATTGTCTTAGTAGGCCCTTCACAACAGTCCATAGATTGCCAGCACGATCTCCACCATTTCTCTTGGATGCTGCCAGCCTTCCCCCATGGAAGCAGCCAGGCTATTCAGCAGTGGGGCTGTCTGGACATGCCAACGCCACCCAGCAGCGATGAAGCAGGAGCACGCACCATTTCATAGCAGCACACCACAGAAACAGTTTCTTTTGGGACACTGAAAACATTACCAGAGAATTTCGCACACAGAAGAGCAGGCAGGACAGGAACCATGCAGCCTGGGCAAGGGGCATCAGTGTGTTTTTTCCAAATACTGTGTCTTGGAAGAGGCCCAGGACAGCAGAGTCTATACTATCCCTCACCTCTGTACTTGGCCATGTACTATCATTTTTTTGCTTGCCAACTAGATGGAAGACTTCGAAGTGCCAGAACAAACCTGCAGGACAGGCAAGCTAACAGACACAATGAATCGCAGGCCTGTAATTCTCAGAATGTACTGAGCTGTTTCTTACCACTATCAGAGGAATCTTCTTTCTTAGACCGCATCTTTCTCTTTCGGCCACGTTTGCCCTTCTTTGTCTCTCCTCCATTCTCTCCTTCCCCACCATCTAGGCCAGAGCAGTTATCAGCATGTCTGGCCATTGTGTTCTACTCCATGGAAGAGAAAAAATACAACAAAAAATACAATGTGCATTAAATTGATCAGATATCCTGGCTCTTTCAAACACATTTCTAGCAACTTATGTGTGTGTGTCTTTTTTTTTTTTTTTTTCCCCCCCCCCCCCCTTTTTTTTTTACAGGAAGACTATTTAGGGGAAATGGGTAAGTTTCATTAACTTTTATCAAAATAAAGTCACATTTTCATATTGCTCGTGTCAAAGCTAAAACATGGTAGTAGTAATTTTGAATTATACCAGGTCTCCCCGCCTCTCTTTTCCTCTCAGAAAAGAGTGCTCTATTTAAAAAATCAGTGTTATTCCCTATACTTCACCCACTCTTCCTTTTAGGTAAACGTCATTCCCTCCCCTTGGCTAAAAGCCTCATTCCTCCCCAAATCCCCCAATTCAAACCAGCATATTCCCTTACCCTGCGAGTGAATGTTTTGCCACACTTGGAACAGACAAAGGCAGCAGGGACAAAGTTGGGATCGTGATATCGTTTGAAGTGCATATCGAGGAGCTGTTTCTGACGGAAGGTTTTATCGCAATGGCTACAGGCATAAGGCTTTTCTCCAGTATGGGTCCGTTTATGCATGACCATGTGCCGCTCCTGACAGGGACAAGCAAGACAGGAAAAGCAACTTGAGGGCTCAGACATACAGAAGAGTGAATTTTCAGCTAAAAGGAGGCCAAAACTTCATCCTTAATATTAAGGAAAAGATGATCCTGCAGGAATGTGAGAACATCTTGATTGATGGCATATTCAGCCCTAGCTACTTCCATCCTATATGGATCCCATCCCTTCGTGAACAGATACATCAAGGTTGTGACTGAGACTGTACTTCTCTATAGGGGAGCACTACAGAGAGAAGCAAAAGGCCACTGAACTTTCCTTCACACCCTTCAAAATATTTAGAGAGCTAATTTGATCTTGACAGCTGGTCAAACTCAACAGCTAAGATTTCCACCTCGTATTTTTAGCTCCTGTTCCAATGCTCATAAGGGGTGCCAGTGCCACCAGCTTACCTGTCTGCAGGCGTAATCGCACTGGTCACATTTGAAGCGCTTCTCATTCTTGTGAGACTTCTGATGCTGGATGAGGGCATACCGCTCGTGAAACACAGCGTCACAATAGCGACATTTCTTGCCCTGTTCGATGTAGGAATGCTGCTTTCGCAAATGGACACCTAGGAGCAGAAGAATCAAAGACTTTAATCACCATGGCTTTCCAGGCATGAAAGACTAGCCTACAGTCCCCTTCCTTCACGATCTTCCCTCCACATGCTCTTGAGCTCAAGCCAAAAAAGTGAAATAGTTAATTTAGGATTCAACTAAAAACCTAAGACCCATAATTAAAAGCAACCAGAACAATTTCTAGACAGAAAGGTCTTGCAGAAAAACTCCAAGTTTTTCCACAGGATTCTAGATTTCATTATTAGTTGCAATCTGTGCTGATACACTATGCTTGCGTTTCATAAGGTATGAATGTCAAACTAAAGTGTCTTGTGGGCTGTTAGGACTGCTCTGAATTGCCTGGATACAGACAGAAGCCAGGTAATACACTGAGGGAAACAGGATTTCCTGCAGGATTAGAAGTCAAGAGTGACAGGGCTAGAAGGCAACAGGGATACCAGCAGATAATCCCCAACAGAGGTTTTAGTCACTTCTTTCAAGTCCTCCGACTAAGAGCGTACCACAGCTGCATGAGGTAGCTTAGGGTAGACTACAGTATTATTAGAAGAAAAATTCACCGCTAACATCAGTTTTCGTCTGTTGTAAATTAGCTAGTTTGCTCCTGACATCAACTGGCTGCCATCCTCTCAAACTGCCTCTCACTGTAGCACTTTACACTTGTCTTTATTGGAAGGGAGCCTGTCTTCCCATTACTTGGGTGGTATTTTGTTTATAGACAGAAAGTTCTGCCAAACCATGGCTTCTTCCTTCTCTTCAGCTGCTCTGAGCCCGATATTATTTTTCGCCTTCTTGTAGAACATAAAGGAGAGCCTGCCTGCCAGAAGCACATGGGGTACAGCTTGCTAGATCAAGACTCTCCTACTGCAAGGACTTTGGGCTTTTGTGGCAACTCAGTCTCTCCCACCCTGTCTGTGGCACACAGCTCCACATCCTGGAAAATTGAACTATTTGGTCTAATTCAAACCTTTTAGCTTGACGAAAACGTCTCTGCACTCCAATGTGCAGGAGGCCAAGCCAAGTGATCTTTTGGTTTCTCAGACCCCAATCCCTTTGCAGCTGTAATCTCAATCCAAGTTCAATAAATGCTGGAAATCCATGGGGCTGAAAACAGTAACTTGCCTTGTATGGCTGGAAAACCTGCTACATTTTCAAATTATGAAAAGAAACTGAAAATTCTTACAGTTTACAGCAGCTATTGTAAGCTAAAAGTGTGTATTACCAGCCACACATCTAAGCCTGTGCTTCATGTTGTACAGTTACCTGAAGTATTAGGTTAAAGGGGAAAAAAAAAAAAAAAAAAAAAGCCCAAACCCACCCTCTCAAAGCCTTTTTGCCTTTGAATGAGTGTGGTTTTACACTAATTATTTGATATATTGATCCAGACTAAAACAATGTTCACTGTTCTTGATGCAGTGTTAATCTTTTGCTGGCTTTTCTGGTCCATTTTTGTGTAAAATTTGATTATAGATAAGAAAAGACATTTTTGATTTGATGGCAGTTTGGTTACATGAACTCTAGTTCTGGGAAGTGGTTTGCAGAATCTTCACCAAATGGCCGCTTCTGTGAGATACATACCCAAGTCACTCTTTCTTGCTATAACGGTATCACAGTGAGGACAGTGAAATTTGGCCACATTCTCTGTGTGCTTCTGCAAAATGTGCATCTTCATGGTACCACTCTGAGTGAAGCGAGCATGGCAGATGTAACATTCATATGGCTTCTCTCCTTTAGTAGCAGAAGGGAAAAAAAATAGCACAAGTACTTTTATTAAAAAGAAATCTCACCAAACAAAACCACCTCCCAGAAACTTGCAACAGACAGCTAGTTGATAGAAACAGTAACTCTAGGAAGAGCTCAATAATGTCCCTTTCTCTAGAAGTTTTAGGTCCAGTAGGCATCTTCGTAGGAAGTGACTTGAGTTCAGTCTCTAAGCAAAGGAGTTGAAGTCTCCTTACTTTGAGAAATGCACGGAAGACCTACACGCAGGCTGTCAGAAGACACCAAGTGGCACCAGATTTTTTTGGAGGTGGGGGTTCTGAATGCTCATGTATACATGCAAGTGTACCTTTTCCCCCCTTCAATTTTAGCATGTGTTTAATTTGGGACTCCAGTAACGCTCTGTGCTAAAACCATCCCTATTTCTATTGAAGAAAAAAATTTAGGATCTTTAGGAACTAACATGCATGAGACGCTTTTGCACCTACACACAAGTATGAAACTATAAATGCCCATAACATTCAACTGGAACACTGATAATAGAAGTTTATTCTCTTTGTACTAGAAGTGCCTGTATTTTTTCACCTGACAGTCAACTGGAAATCAGAATCCTCCAAGCTCATTTCCCAGTGCAACAATTACTTTCAGGTTATTATTATTACTCGCACTTACAAATCATTGCCTGTTCTCTCCAGCTACAGACTTTTATAAAGGTTTTGTTTCAAACTACAAAATAGTATTTCTTTTGATCTTTAGGTGTTAGCACACATTGTACACAGCCTCAGCACTCTGACACTGAAACATTACAAAAACCACACTAAAAAAGTACGGCATAGATACCAGAGTGGGTCCTCATGTGCCTCTTCAGTTTGTAAGTATCCCTGCTGGCATAGCTGCACAAGCTGCACTGGAACGGACGCTCTCCAGTGTGAGAACGAATGTGGCGTTTCAATTTGCTAACCTGGAAGTCAAGAGCAAGACTGAAGTTAGCATAGATGAGCAGGTCAGATTGCCAAAAGTACAAGAAATCAGTCAAGAGTTTAAGGCTGTCTATTTTTATTCTTATCTTGCCACTAAAACAAGCAAGCATGTTTTAATACCATTCTCTCACTGCACATAGCCACTCGCTCCTGCCCACTCTAGTTCACCTCCCAACCTCATTGCCAGTCTCACCTGATGCTTGTTCCCACTTTCAGTGCAGCCTGGTTTAGTCCTGTGCTCACCTTACTGTTATTGACCATCTCAACATCTGAAGACACGCTAAAACTTGAAAGTATCCTGGAGAGACACAAGAAGATCTTCTGGGAAAGCAGGCACCCAAGAAACATTGTGGGGGTTACTGTCCCCTGTACAGTATCTTTTTCTCCACAGGGTGCTTTCTTGGGTTCTCTCCAGTTACTTTGAGATGTATAAGATACATCAATTCCTTGCTAAGAATAACAAAAATCTAGTCCTGCAATCAACAGGGTGACTTAATTCCTTTCCTCTCCTGTTTTTATCTAGAAGGCACAAGCCCAACTTAAAAGCTCAGCATGAACACAAATGTTAAAGGCATTTTCTACTCCAGCCTGACCATGCTGCTTAATCACCAACCCATGTCTACAAAACACAGCACAAGCTCACACAAAGACCAACTGGGTTACTGTTTCCTAATTCATACTATGAAAACTGCTGCAACACCATTTATTCAGCACTCAAACCACAGGGCCTGGAATTACAGCACTGCACAGCCAGTGTGGGTAGGAAAAAGAAGCCCAAAGCCCCTACTCAGCCTCTCCCTACTGTAGCCTTCTTCCACTGCAGATATCCCGTTTTGTTTTTAAATATGCTGCTCATCATCTTGCTCAAATTTCCTATCACAATATAAAAGCTGTCCTGTCACATAAGTAGCAATACTGCATAGGGGAGAGCATTCAAGGAAGCTTAATTTGCTCGAGCAAGTAAGACAATCACCCAATATTAGCAAAGCTACTTTTCACCAATATTGCAGCAGAGGCTCATTAATTGTGGCTACAGACACCTTAATGGTATATAAAAAAAAAAAACAACCTGCAGAATGCACATTTCTAAAATGGGAGGGCACCTCTAGCCTGAAAGTACCTCCTACTGCAGCAGGAGATGGCTGCCTCCTTCAACACAGAGCATGCTACAACTCCTGCAAGCATCTCGAAGGCCAAGTAATTTAAGAAACAATGACAACTATTGTCTCCAAAGAGGAAATGGACATCACCTAGGACTTCTGTGCATAAATACTCTCAAACTGTTTTCTCATTAACCGCAAAAATCCCACCATTTGTTTCCAAGAGCAGACCTGATCTGTAACTTTTTTTGCTCAGAGCCTTTTAAACAAATGACTAAAGAGGAAATGCCTAAGAACAGAGTTTATAACAGATGGCGAACAAGCTCTGAAGCATCCAAGGAAGTATTCAGTGCTGTAACAATTAACTAACGTACCTCCACACTAGCATAATCACACATGGAACATTTGAATGGTTTCTCATGGGTATGTTTGTAGCGGCGATGCCGAACCAACTCTCCACTGGTCACAAAGGCCATGTCGCAGTCTGGGCACTTGTGAGGGCGAGTACCTAAGCGTTTGCAGCGAGACAGAAAGACGATGACATTCAGGTTTAGTGGCAAAAGAAAATATGGGACAGTTTTTGTTTTTGTTTTTTTTTTTTTTTTTAAGTTAGATAACAACATTGCTTTCATATTCTGAAATATTAGAGCAGCAAACAGTACACAGGAGTAATTTTTGCATACGTAACTAGCGGACTGAAGATCTCAGAGAATTAATAACCTTTCAATGAGGAAACAAACTCCCTTATTTTTATATCACTTGGTTATTTACAATTTTCAAACCATCCAGTTAGACATAACGTAGGTAGGCAGAGAACAAGGGATATGACACTTCTTTTTTTGGCAGAAAGGTCACAAAAACCTTAATTACAGTTCAATTCCCTGTAGTTCTATACTAGAAACTTAGGTTAAGGAGAAACGGAAGTGTGCTACAGTTCCTAGCTGTAAGTTTTATTGGTCCAGTTCATAATCTATTCCTTGGGCTTTCATTTTTTTGTTGGGTTTTTTTGGGGGCTGGGTTTTTTTCAGGGTGTTTGGTTTGGTTTTGGGGGAGATTTTTGTTGTGGGTTTTTTTCGTTGGTTTTTTTTTTCTTTTTTTTTTTCTTCTCTGTTTTCAACTCCTTTATGTTTAGCTCCAGCCTCGTTCTCATCTTACTTTTCTGCAAGCAGCAGTGGCAACACAAAGCTTGGAACACCACTACTAATGCACAAGATAAACGCAACATTTTCTATAGCTTCATGTAATTTCAGATCAAGCCCAGGATCAGCTTTATACCTATGTACAGGATGAGCTTTGCACCTGACCTGGCCAGGCAGAAAACTGTGTTCAAATGAGAAATGAACAGCAGCACTGCATAGTTTCTTCATTTTTAGCTTGTTCCGTAAGTGGAATCAGATGGATTCAAGACAGATCCACCCTGATACTCTATTTATTCTAAAGACAGAACAGATCCCACAAAAAAGGTGGGGGTCAGTCTCTGCTCCCAGGGAACGGGCAATAGGACGAGGGGAAACAGTGTGCCCAGGTGGCCAAGAAGGCCAATGGCATCCTGGCCTGTATCAGAAATAGCATGACCAGCAGGAGTAGGGAAGTGATCGTGCCCCTGTACTCAGTGCTGGTGAGGCTGCACCTCAAATACTGTGTTCAGTTTTGGGCCCCTCACTACAAGAAAGATGGTGCATTGCTGGAACACATCCAGAGGAGAGCAACCAAGCTGGTGAGGGGTCTGGAGCACAAGGCTTACGAGGAGTGGCTGAGGGAACTGGGGTTGTTTAGTCTGGAGAAGAGGAGGCTGAGGGGAGACCTGATTGCCCTCTACAACTA